ATAATAGTACAGGATAAACAGTATATAACATGATCATACAGTATAAAACAGGATAACAACAGTATAACAACAGGAAAAAACGGATAATAAAGATAAATCAGGATAATAACAGGATTATAACAGGATAAAACAGGATAATACCAGGATAAAACAGTGAATATAACATGATAAAACATTGTTATTACCAGTTAAAAAAAGATCAAACAGGATATCACAGGATAATAAACATTTAATAACAGAATAAAACGGATAGTACCGATACAACAGGATAAGAACATATAAAACATGATAATAACACGATAAACAGGATAATCCACAAACATGAATAAACAACGATAAAACAGAATAGTAACCCAGGATAAAACAGGATAATAACATGATAATAAACAGTATAATAACAGGGGGGGGGATGATACACACGATAAAACATAACAGAACAGATAAACATGATAATTAAACAGGATAATAACAGGAATAAAACAGGGTAATACAGGAAAACCGATCAAACAGGAATAACAACCGAATAAACAGGGTAATACACAGTATAACCCAGGTATAAACAATAATAACGGATTAACATGATAAACCAGGATATAACCTGATAAAACAGGTATAACAGGCTAAAACCATGATAATAACAGATATAACCGGATAAAACAGATACTAACAGGCTAAAACAGTATACTAACAGATAATAACAGATAAACCAGGATCGTACATGATATAACAGGATAAAACATTGTAATCACATTATAAAACAGGATACGAACATGGTAATAACAGGATAAAACAGGATAAAACAGGATATAACAGGATAAAACAGGATAATAACAGATAAACAGGATAAAACAGTGATAAAACAGATGCGACAGATAAAACCTGATAATAATATGATATAACAGATAAAACAGGATAGTAACCAGGATAAATACAGGATAAACAGGTAATAACAGGATAAAACAGTATTAACAGGGTATAACAGGATAAACAGGATAAAACAGGATAATAACGGATCAACTTTGAATAATAACAGATAATAACAGGATATAACATGATAACACGGAATAATAACAGGATAATAACAGATCAAACGGATAAAACAGGTAAAACATGATAATAACAGATATACAGTATATAACATGAATAAAACAGGATAGTACAGGTAATAAAACAGGATAATAACATGATAACAGGATATAACACATAAAACAGGATATCCCACCTGATAAAACAAACACATAAACAGAACAGTAACAGGAGAAAACAGGATAATAACATATCATAACAGGATAAAACAGGATAAAACAAGGTAATAACAGAAAAACAGGATAAAACAAGATAACAACGTAAAACATATAAAACAGGATAATACAGATATAACAGTAATAATACAGGATAAAACTGATATAACCATTATAAAACAGGAATAGCACGCCTATAACGGATAAAAATGAGTAACAGGATAATAACAGGATAATAACAGGATAAAGGATAATAACATGATAATAACAGATATAACGATCGATAAAACAGATTAGTAAAGGATAAACGAGATATATCACATAATAAAACAGTATAATAACACGAGAATACAGGATAATCCAGGATAAACCGTATAAAACAGGATCATACCATGATATAACAGATAATAACAGGATAAAACCAGGATCATAACATGAACAACAGGATAATACACGATAAAACGTATAACACAGGATAACACACGATAAAACAGAACAGTACAGTATAAAAAACAGGATAATAACAGGATAATAACAGGATAATAATACAGGATCAACCGGTTAATACAGGATAAAACAGGATAAAACAGGATAACAACAGGAAATAACACGATAAACCAGGGTAATCACAGATAAACACTATAAAACACAGAACAGTAACCGGATTAAAAACCCAAAAGGACCGAAAAAAAAATAAAAAAACAAATAATAACAGGATTAAATAACATGAATAATAACCGGATAAAACAGGGTAAATAACAGCCATAAAAACAGGATAAAGAACAGGAGCAACAGGATAAAACAGGATAATAACATGATAAAACAGGATAACTAACAGATAATAACAGGTATAAAACATGATAATAACATGACTCTGAAACAGGATAAAAGGATACAAACAGAATAATAACAGAATAAACGGATAATAACAGATATACGGATAATAACATGAAGAAAACCGGATAGATAACAGTAAATAATAACAGGATAAAACAAGGAATATGTAAACAGGATAAAACAGGGTTAATAACAGGATAATCAAACAATGATAATACAAAAAGGGCAAAACTAACAACCCCCCCAAAAAAAGGGGGGTACGCTTGGGGGTTTTTTTTTTTTTTTCAAACCACAAATTTAACACCCAAAGGTGGGTTAATTTAAAAAAACCCCCAAGGGGGCCCAACAAACATTTTTTTTAAAAAAAAAATAAGTTTGTTAAACCCAAAAGGAAAACTACCTACACCCAAAAGGGAAAAAAAAAACGACAAATTTAAGACACAAACAAACAAAGTTGAACTTTTAAAAAAAAAAAAAAAACCCCCCCAAGGGGCAATAAAACCTCAATATGATCAAAAGAAAACAAACACCAGGATAACAGTAACCCAAAGGGATTTTTATTCAGATCAAAAAATAAAAATAGGACTACAACAGCCAATTGAAAAACGAATGAAATCCCAAGTGGGTTGTGTTTTTTTTATTTAGATCTAATTTACCACAGGGTCATCTAACCGTGTCAAAATCATGTATTTTTTTTTTGCAATTTTTAATTAATAGAAAAAACAAACAGGATTAAAACAGATAATAACAGGATAATAACAGGATAAAACCGAATAATAACAGGATAAAACAGGAATAATAACAGTGATAGTAACAGAATAAAACATGATAAAACAGGATAATAACAGGATAAAACAGGATAATAACAGGATAATAACAGGATAATAACAGGATAAAACAGGGTAATAACAGGATAAAACAGGATAAAACAGAATAGTAACAGGATAAAACAGGATAACAACAGGATAAAACAGGATAATAACAGGATAAAACAGGGTAATAACAGGATAATAACAGGATAATAACAGGCTAAAAACAGGTAATAACAGGATAAACAGGATAAAAAAAGAATATAACAGGATAACACAGGATAACAACAGGATAAAACAGACAAAACAGGATAATAACAGGATAATAGGGTAATAACAGGATAAAAACAGGATAATAACAGATAAAAAACAGGATAATAAACAGGAGTGAAAACAGGATAAAACAGGAGATGATGTGGGACTACAGGGAAAAAAAAAAAAAAGAGGGACTGAGCACGCCACCATTTCATCGACGGGGCGGGGTAGTGGAAACAGGTTGAGAGATTCAAGTTCCTTGGTGTCCACATCACCAACAAACTATCATTGTTCAAACACCAAGACAGTCGTGAAGAGGGCACGACAAAGCCTATTCCCCCTCAGGAGACTGAAAATATTTGGTATGGGTCCTCAGATCCTCAAAAAGTTATACAGCTGCACCATCGAGAGCATCCTGACTGGTTGCTTCACCGCCTGTATGGTAACTGCTCGGCCTCCGACCGCAAGGCACTACAGAGGGTAGTGCATACGGCTCAGTATATCACTGGGGCCAAGCTTCCTGCCATCCAGGACCTCTATACCAGGCGGTGTCAGAGGAAGGCCCTAAAAATTATCAGACTCCAGCCACCCTAGTCATAGACTGTTCTCTCTGCTAGCGCACGGCAAGCGGTACCGGAGCGCCAAGTCTAGGTCCAAAAGGCTTCATAACAGCTTCTTCCCCAAAGCCATAAGACTCCTGAACAGCTAATCATGGCTACCCAGACTATTTGCACTGCCCCCCCACCCCAACCTTTTACGCTGCTGCTACTCTGTTAATTATTTATGCATAGTCACTTTAACTCTACCCACATGTACATATTACTTCAATTACCTTGACTAACCGGTGCCCCCGCACATTGACTCTGTACCGGTACCCCCCTGTATATAGCCTCCCTACTGCTCTTTAATTATTTGCTATTTTAAAAATTTTCTCAAACGGCATTGTGGGTTAAGGGCTTGTAAGTAAGCGTTTCACTGTAATGTCTGCACCTGTTGTATTCGGCGCATGTGGAAAATCAAATTTGATTTAATTTGTTTTAAAAACAGGATAAAACAGGATAATAACAGGATAATAACAGGATAAAACAGGATAATAACAGGATAATAACAGGATAAAACAGGATAAAACAGGATAATAACAGGATAATAACAGGATAAAACAGGATAACAACAGCATAATCAGTTTCAAAGAATCAGTGGAAAAATCCCAAATAAATTCAGGGAATAAGCTTTGAGGCGCTGCAGTGTAAACCAAAAAAGGCCTGACTACCTTTTCAAATGTCCTGTTGTCGGAGCTAGAAGGTGTAGATATTATTGTTATTCAATAAAAGGTGAAAAGAAACTCACTGTACTGCATGCTCCCATGGTGGTCAAAACATTTCATCTTCAAGAATATAACTTAGAAATGCCTCATGAGCTTAGCTCAAATAAATCTATCATATGGAAGCATACATAGAATGCAGTGTGTATGTGGAGGGAGTATCTTTAGAGTGCAGTGTGTATGTGGAGGGAGTATCTTTAGAGTGCAGTGTGTATGTGGAGGGAGAGTTTTTAGAGTGCAGTGTGTATGTGGAGGGAGAGTTTTTAGAGTGCAGTGTGTATGTGGAGGGAGAGTTTTTAGAGTGCAGTGTGTATGTGGAGGGAGTATCTTTAGAATGCAGTGTGTATGTGGAGGGAGTATCTTTAGAATGCAGTGTGTATGTGGAGGGAGTATCTTTAGAATGCAGTGTGTATGTGGAGGGAGTATCTTTAGAGTGCAGTGTGTATGTGGAGGGAGTATCTATAGAATGCAGTGTGTATGTGGAGGGAGAGTTTTTAGAGTGCAGTGTGTATGTGGAGGGAAGGAGTATCGTCCCACCTGGTGGGGCGCCCAACAGAGGAAGAAAGCAAGGACAGCTGCTGCCAGCATCCTCAACAGCTCATCATCTCTCGACAGGGTGGTCTTCTGGATGCTCCGACCAGGGCTCGACCAATCAGGCAGAAGCAGGTGATGATGATGAAGAAGGGAACCAGGAACCCCAGGACGCTCTTCATCAGGCTGATGGTGAGGAGGAGGTGCCTGTAGCCCTGATTGATTGATAGGTTGATTGATTTAATTTAATTGATTAGTTAAAAGTAATATGCTTCTCCAGCTGGAGACAATATCAGAAGGATACGAACACGATAAGGCTGATGTGGTCTGTGGTCCTCTGTGGCAGCGAGATGGCACGTGTCGGGCAAGACGGACACTTCACACTCAATGCAATTCAAAACAAAAAAACAATAGCAGCACTAATTACCACAGTATCAACATGTTCCCGTTTAAGAGTCACTTCGTGAAAGGACAGCCCTAATCATGTCAAACCTCGGGGTGCAGCACGCCACACGTGCTGATGTTATAGTTGGTGATGTGCATCAGGTCCCTGGTCAGTGCGGTGGGGACGGACAGCAGGAGGGGTCGACCAATCAGGCAGGACGCAGGTCATACGGGCGTAGAGCCCAGTACGGCGCTGCCGTGACCTCACCGGGTGGACGCAGGCCAGATGGCGGTCGACGCTGAGTGAGGAAGAAGAAGATGGAGCTGTAGAGGTTGAACATCACCAGGCCAGCGCTGGCCTTACACAGGAACCCCACCGAAGGGCCACTGGTAGCCTGTGGAGGTGAAGGTGGCCTTACACAGGAACCCACCGAAGGGCCACTGGTAGCCTGTGGAGGTGAAGGTGGCCTTACACAGGAACCCACCGAAGGGCCACTGGTAGCCTGTGGAGGTGAAGGTGGCCTTACACAGGAACCCACCGAAGGGCCACTGGTAGCCTGTGGAGGTGAAGGTGGCCTTACACAGGAACCCACCGAAGGGCCACTGGTAGCCTGTGGAGGTGAAGGTGGCCTTACACAGGAACCCACCGAAGGGCCACTGGTAGCCTGTGGAGGTGAAGGTGGCCTTACACAGGAACCCACCGAAGGGCCACTGGTAGCCTGTGGCTGTGAAGGTGGCCCACATGAGCAGGGTGATCATGGAAGGTAGGGCCTGAGATGGCTAGGTTGGGAACGAACACGTTGGCCACTTCATGTAGTGGTAGATGACCGCCACCACCATGCTGTTCCCCACCATGATGATGACAAAGTTACAGCCGTACACTACTGGGATCAGGGTGAAGATGACGTTATGCCTCCCGGACATGCTGCAGTTCAGATGGATACCTTCTGTGTCTGTGGTCGCTGCTCCTTCAGCCGTACAGTTCTCCATTACCTTCTGTGTCTGTGGTCGCTTCTCCTTCAGCCGTACAGTTCTCCATTACCTTCTGTGTCTGTGGTCGCTGCTCCTTCAGCCGTACAGTTCTCCATTACCTTCTGTGTCTGTGGTCGCTTCTCCTTCAGCCGTACAGTTCTCCATTACCTTCTGTCTCTGTGGTCACTGCTCCTTCAGCCGTACAGTTCTCCATTACCTTCTGTCTCTGTGGTCGCTGCTCCTTCAGCCGTACAGTTCTCCATTACCTTCTGTGCCTGTGGTCGCTGCTCCTTCAGCCGTACAGTTCTCCATTACCTTCTGTCTCTGTGGTCGCTGCTCCTTCAGCCGTACAGTTCTCCATTACCTTCTGTCTCTGTGGTCGCTGCTCCTTCAGCCGTACAGTTCTCCATTACCTTCTGTCTCTGTGGTCGCTGCTCCTTCAGCCGTACAGTTCTCCATTACCTTCTGTGTCTGTGGTCGCTTCTCCTTCAGCCGTACAGTTCTCCATTACCTTCTGTCTCTGTGGTCGCTGCTCCTTCAGCCGTACAGTTCTCCATTATCCTGTTTAACAGCTATATCCAGGTCCATTATCCTGTTTAACAGCTATATCCAGGTCCGTTATCCTGTTTAACAGCTATATCCAGGTCCGTTATCCTGTTTAACAGCTATATCCAGGTCCGTTATCCTGTTTAACAGCTATATCCAGGTCCGTTATCCTGTTTAACAGCTATATCCAGGTCCCTGGGCTTTCAGTCAGTCCTATAAAAGAAACACAAGAAAAAGTAATGTGACAGTCTAGGAGAGGATCCGTCATTATCAACAGGCCCATAAAACTAAAACTAAATGCATGCTCTTCAATCGAACGCTGCTTGCACCCGCCTGCCCGACTAGAATCACTACTCTCGGTGGGTCTGACTTAGAATTTGTGGACAACTACAAATACCTAGGTGTCTGGTCAGACCATAAACTCTCCTTCCAGACTCACATTAAGCATCTCTAATCCAAAATTAAATATAGAATCGGCTTCCTATTTCGCAACAAAGCCTCCTTCACTCATGCTGCCAAACATGCCCTCGTAAAACTGACTATCCTACCGATCCTTGACTTCAGCGATGTCATTACAAAATAGCCTCCAACACTCTACTCAGCAAATTGGATGTAGTCTATCACAGTGCCATCCGTTTTGTCTCCAAAGCCCCAGGCCATCTATAAATCACTGCTAGGCAAATCTCTGCCTTATCTTAGCTCATTGGTCACCATAGCAGCACCCACCCGTAGTCTGCGCTCCAGCAGGTATATCTCACTGGTCATCCCCAAAGCCAACACCTCCTTTGGCCGCCATTCCTTCCAGTTCTCTGCTGCCAATGACTGGAACGAACTGCAACAATCTCTGAAGCTGGAGACTCTTATCTCCCTCGCTAACTTTAAGCATCAGTTGTCAGAGCAGCTTACCGATCACTGCACCTGTACACAGCCCATCTGAAATTAGCCCACCCAACTACCTCATCCCTATATTGTTATTTATTTTGCTCTTTTGCACCCCAGTATCTCTATTTGCACATCATCTTCTACACATCTAGCATTCCAGTGTTAATACTAAATTGTAATTATTTTGCACTATGGCCTATTTATTGCCTTACCTCCATAACTTACTACATTTGCACACACTGTATATATATTTATATTTTCTGTTGTATTTTTGACTTTATGTTTTGTTTACCCCATATGTAACTCTGTGTTGTTGTTTTTATCGCACTGCTTTGCTTTATCTTGGCCAGATCGCAGTTGTAAATGAGAACTTGTTCTCAACTGGCTTCTTCCCTGGTTAAATAAAGGTGAAAAAAAAAAAACAAATAAAAAAGAAACACTAATGCACACAAGCAGTCTACACCCTAAACCCTACACCCTATACCCTACACCCTAAACCCTACACCCTATACCCTACACCCTACACCCTACACCCTACACACCCTATACCCTAACCTACACCCTACACCCAACACCCTAACAACCCACACCTACACCCTACAACCCTACCAACCCTACACCCTCACACCCTACACCCTAACCCCAACACCCTACACCCAACACCCTAACCCCAACACCCTACACCCTACACCCTAACCCAACCCTACACCCTACACCTACACCCAACCCTACACCTACACCTATACCTACACCCTACACCCTAACCCTACACCCTAACTCTATACCCTACACCCTAACCCTACACCCTACCCTATACCCTACACCCTACACCCTAACCCTAACCACCCTACACCCTAACCCTACACCCTACACCCTAACCCTACACACCCCTACACCCTACACCCTAACCCCCTACACCCCACCCTACACCCTCACCCACCCCCTACACCCTATACCCTACACCCTACACCACCCTACACCCTAACCCCTAACCCTACACCCTACACACCCTATACCCTACACCCTACACCACACCCACACCACACCCTAAACCCTATACCCCTACACCCTAATACCCTAACCCTACACACCTAAACCCTATACCCTAACACCCTACCTACCCTACACCCATACCTAACACCCTATACCCTACACCCTACACCCTACACCCTATACCCTAAACCCTACACCCTACACCCTAACGTTACAGCGTTCACCCTACAACCTACACCCTATACCCTATACCCTATACCCTATACCCTACACCCTACACCCTACACCCTATACCCTACACCCTACAACCTACACCCTATACCCTATACCCTATACCCTATACCCTACACCCTATACCCTACACCCTAAACCCTACACCCTACACCCTAACGTTACAGCGTTCACCCTACACCCTACACCTGTCACGCCCTGGCTCTGGGGACTCTTATATGTTGAGCCAGGGTGTGGATTTTCTATGTCGGCTACAGGACGTATCGGCGGATTAGGAGAGGAGGCCACCAGGTTTGGGGGGCTGGAAGGGAGGTTGGCGGAGCCTAGAGGTAGAGCAGAGCCAACTCCCCGTACTCAGGCTAGGCAGCGTGAGACTGGGCAGGTTCCGAGTTATGCGGAGCTGCGTACTGTGCCGCGAGTGGTCCGGCACAGTCCTGTACGTCCTGTGCTAGCACCCCGCACGTGTCGTGCTAAGGTGGGCATGCAGCCAGGACGGAGTGTGCCAGCTCAACGCTCGTGGCCTCCAGTACCCCTCCTCGGTCCCGGATATCCTGCGCCAGTGCCACGTGCTGTAGTGCCAGTACGAGTGCACAGCCCTGTACGTCCTGTGCTGATGCCTCACACAGAGTGTGTAGAAATAGGCATTCAGCCAGGACGGGTTGTGTCAGCTCTTCGCTCCAGACCTCCAGTCCGTCTCCACAGCCCGGTCCTGCCCGTTCCTGCTCCCCGCACCAACCCAGTGGTGCGCGTCGTCAGCCCGGTCCGGCCCGTTCCTGCTCCCCGCACCAAGCCAGTGGTGCGCGTCGCCAGCCCGGTCCGGCCTGTTCCTGCTCCCCGCACCAAGCCAGTGGTGCGCGTTGCCAGCCCGGTCCGGCCTGTTCCTGCTCCCCGCACCAAGCCAGTGGTGCGTGTCGTCAGCCCGGTCCGGCCCGTTCCTGCTCCCCGCACCAAGCCAGTGGTGCCCGTCGCCAGCCCGGTCCGGCCCGTTCCTGCTCCCCGCACCAAGCCAGTGGTGCGCGTCGTCAGCCCGGTCCGGCCCGTTCCTGCTCCCCGCACCAAGCCAGTGGTGCGCGTCGTCAGCCCGGTCCGGCCTGTTCCTGCTCCCCGCACCAAGCCAGTGGTGCGCGTCGCCAGCCCGGTCCGGCCTGTTCTTGCTCCCCGCACCAAGCCAGTGGTGCGCGTCGTCAGTCCGGCACAGCCCATGCCTGCTCCACACCGGAGCCTGAGCAATCCGCTCCACCGGTGTCCAGTCCAGCTCCGGCCAGCGGGACCAGACCAGGGGCGCTACTGGGAGGTAGCGAGAGAGTGGTGGTCACGCCCGGAGCCGGATCCGCCTCCGAGGCGGAATGCCCACCCGGCCCCTCCCCTGTTGGGTATGGTTGGCGTGGGTTGCAGTCCGCACCTTTGGGGCGGGGTACTGTCACGCCCTGGCTCTGGGGACTCTTATATGTGGGTGTGGATTTTCTATGTGTGATTTTCTATGTTGTGTTCTAGTTCGTGTTTTCTATTTTGGCCAGGGTGGTTCCCAATCAGAGGCAGCTGATTCTCGTTGTCTCTGATTGGGAACCATACTTAGGCAGCCTTTTGTTTTGTGGGATCTTGTTCTGTATAGGTTTGTGTTGGTGAACCTTTAGACTTCACGTATCGTTTTGTTGTTGATGTAAAGTACTCATTAAAAGATGTACGCCTATCACGCTGCGCCTTGGTCCGGTTCCTATAACGATCGTGACAACACCCTAACGTTACAGCGTTCACCCTACACCCTAAACCCTACACCCTAAACCCTAAACCCTACACCCTATACCCTATACCCTACACCCTATACCCTATACCCTATACCCTACACTAACCTAACCTAACATACCATACCCTAACCTAACCTAACCCTAACCCTACACCCTACACACCCTACAACATAACCCATACCCCTAAACCCTACACCCTAAACCCTATCACCCTATACCCTACACCCTAACACTACAACACCCTAAGTACCCTACACCCAAACCAAACCCTACACCCTAATACCCTACACCTATACCCTACACCCTATACCCTAAACCCTATACCCTATACCCATACTAAACCCTACACCCACACCCTAAACCCTACACCCTATACCCTAACCTACCCTACACCCTAAACCCTACACCCAACCCTACACCCAACCCAACCCTAACCCCTAAACCACACACCCTAAACCCTACAACCCATACCCTCACCCTATACCCTATACCCTATACCCTACACCCTACACCCTAAACCCTACACCCTATACCCTATACCCTATACCCTATACCCTACACCCTAAACCCTACACCCTACACCCTAAACCCTAAACCCTACACCCTACACCCTAAACCCTA